CACTGTTTTCTATTTAAAGTATAAGAATTATTTTCTAAATTTGTATTGTACTCCACGAAATAGCAAACCATAACAGATGGTTCTCCAAAATATTTCCTGCTGCTCATTCTCTCCTCTGGATTTTAGTCACAGTATATTAAGGTTTTAAATAGCAAAGAGTTGTGCTTCCTGGACAATGGTCTTGCCACTTCTCCACCCCTCCTTCCATAGAATCCATTTCCCATTTTTCTGGGGGTGACAACATGTTTCCAATTACCATATGCCCCATACATATCTCCTTCTTTCCATAAGCAACACTGGGAAGTCCTTTTGCTTCAGATCCTTAGAACAATGACTTCTAGGAATATGCCCTGATTATTTCCATAGAATTTATGGTCTAAGTAAATGTACGCTGGTACAGTTCTCTCTTACGAATGTGTCCAAGATGGAAGATACCTGTCTTGGAGCTTTCCATTCATCCTAAGTCCTGCTGACAAGAGCCAGGCAGAGTGGGAGGAATGGCAGAATTACAATGTATCACTCCTGGCCCTCTTACTGCTTCTGTACTGGAAAAACTATCGATTGTCTATACCATGGCTAAGTATCAGTACAGCAGAAGCAAACCAAACTATGCATTATTTCAGGGCTGCATGACTTTCAGCTGGAGGTTCATGTCTGAATCATCCTTCTGCAACCTCATAACTTCCAGATGTGTTGTACTAAACTCCATCCAGTAAAGCCATGAAAGTCAGGCATGATGGGAATTATAGTCCTACACAACTGGCAAGCACCAGATTGGGGAAGGTTGGTCTAAGTGCTTTTCTACTCCCCTGCACTCAAATAAGCTGCTTAGCATAGAAATATTGCATGTCAGAGAGAAGATGAAACTGAAGGCAAGCTCCATGCTAGGCATAATTAGGAACGGAATAGAAATAAAACTGCCAAGATCGTACACCCTTTATACAAATCTTGTTGTGACCACAGTTAGCATATTGCAGGGTTTTAAGCCACCTTACCTGAAAAAGGACATTATTGGGTTGGAAAAAGTACAGAGAGGGGCAACATAAATGATCAGGGAACTGGAACAGTTGCCCCATGGGGGGCAGCTAGAACAACTGGGACTATTTAGCTTGGGAAAAAGGTGAGTAAGGGGAGACATGGAAGAAGGGCTTAAGATAAGGCATGGTGTGAAGAAAGTGGAAAGGGAGGCTTTTATCTCTTTCTCATAACCCTCAAATCTGGGGTCACCCCATGAAGCTGATTGGTGGAAGTTTGTGTGCTACCCAGAGGTATTGTGGCACAATCGGGTGGCATGTAAATGTTTTAAACAAACAAATAAATAAATAAGTTTAGGACAGATAAAAGGAAGTACTTCACACAATGTATAGTTAAACTATGGACTTCCCTCCATGGGAGGTGGTGATGGCCACCAATCTGGGTGGCTTTAAAAGGGGATCAGACAGAGTGATGAGGGAGGAGGCTATCAATGGAGACCAGCCTTTCAGGCTGTGTGCGACCTCATTTACCAGAAGTGGCATGCCTGCGTACACAATAGCTGCGGCACTGGGGAGGCAGAGCCCTTGCACCCATCCTGCTTGAACGAGCCTGTGGGCAGCAGGTTTGCCACCATGTGCACAGAGTGCTGGACTACATGGACCTTTGGTCTGATCTAACAGGACTTTTATGTTCTAACCTTTCCCACGGCATGCTATATTTCTACAACAAGGGAAGTGCTTAATTTTAGTTTCCAAGGAGAGGCAATAAAACGACCACACCCAAAACTGGTTGAAGATCATCTTTACCACTTGGGTTTTGATGAATGTATAAAAGTAGTTTTAATTCACATTAGTAATAGAGAGATCAAACATTCATTTGTAAAGATCTCTAGTCTGCAGAATCAAAGTTTAAAGCAAAGTATAAGCATTGGGCTTCGCAATTCTACATATTAAAGTTTACTTAGAGTGTAGCTATGCTACATTTTCTATGAAGTGTTCATCAAGTGTCAGGGACTTGATTTACAAATCATCACCACAGGGGTCCAGTCTGGATTTGGCACCCCAGTGTGTGAGGGGAAGGGCAGAGGGTTAAATTTCTGGTACCACCATGCTAGGTTCCCAAGCCAGCAGATAGCCTCTGCATTAGCAGTAACAACAGCAACCCTGCACTCAAGACCAGAAGTGCATGAGAAAAGCGCCATGTAGCTTGGCCTTTTGTACACTTTATTGTTTTTAAACTAATTCCTGCACAAAGACCTTTTTCAGAACTGCAGTCAATAACATGGCCTGCCAGTGACACAGGGAGAGATTGAAATGCTGGTGAGTAGGCAGACAGACTGAAAGCAACACTGACTGCAGCTGTGAGTTCTGGAGCAACCATTACCATGCTTGGGTACAGAACGCAGGACCATGCAGGCAGTGGACAAAACACACAACTCCCCAAGCAAGTGCTCTCCAGAGCTGTTAGGCTACAACTCCCGTCACCCCGCAATGACATGGCCATGGGAAGTGAACAGCTCTGGAGGACACCAGGCTGGGAGAGACTGGTACAAGTGACTGTGCTCTTGTGCCCAGAAGATGTACAATCTTCCTTAGAGAGACAAGTCACTCAGGAGGGTAGAATCACCCTAGGTTGTGCTAGGCATTGATAATCACACTGTTAGAAACTGGTGGGGGAGGAAGTAAGGATGGAACTTCAGAAAGGGCTTTGCTAAAAAGGCGTCTTTGATAGAAGAGAGACATTGTACAGATTTCTTGAATAGTAGCAGCTCTCCTGTCCAAGACTTCAGAGTCCCACAGAAAACAGGGAAGGCAGTAATGCACTGAGTGGATCGATGGACTGATCTGACATAATACAGCATCACATATTCATAAGTTGTGCACTGAAGACAGAGGAGCTCGTTCCAGCCACATGGGGCAGCATGGGGTAAGGCATGGGATATGGAAACAGGACAAGGAAACAAAGGGAGGGAATTGCCAAGGACCTTGAGATATGATAGAACAAACAACTATCTCTTTATTTTGGAAGGGGTTTAAAGCTGATGCATTTTAGGAATCCATTAATTACTTAGCTGGTAGGACTTTTGCAATTCATTTGCAGCAGCACCTGCCCAGTTGTTGCGTATCCCAGCCAGCTGCATCTGAGCAGCCTAAGGTTGTCTGTGGGGCAGGACAATCAGAACGGACCTTCTCCACCTGCACACTTTTTCAGGACAAACAAAGCATAACTTTCTCCAGTGTCTTTTATTTCTCCTGGGATGCAGGACACCAAAACCATTCAAGTCAGGACAGAGGACACAGAATGCAACCTTCACATTCACCCACTCCACTTCACACGACTAAGGAAAGGTGCTGTGCTGCTACAGCCTGCCTGTAGGAAGGAAGAGGACGCAAGGAGACACTAACTTGGTAACCAAAACGGTCACCATCCAGTTCCCAGCTCCTCAGTCAGTTAATTTCCCTGCTCCCAGGTCTCAGTCCCAAGCTTTAGGAAAATCTGGTCACAGATCCCTGGATCACATCTGTCATGTGGCCACCCAAGGTAAGTGTGAAAAAGGTCTCCTCATTTAATGGCATTAGTGAACATTTAATGGCCTAAATGGACATGTGCAGGGGATCCAGTATCATATCTCTGGATCACTGGAAACCAACACTTGCCCACCATGAACAAGACCAAGAGCCAGACACAACTGGATCCTTTCTTTAAACTTCACACCCTTTCAACCTACTCTGAGTCCTGCTTGTACTAGTGGAATTAATCACTGCTTTGGTGAAGGGGGAAAAAGGGAGGTTCCCTTGATCTGCTGCCCCCCACACATGCTGTGTCACAATTAAAACTGGGCTACGCTGCTTGGGGAATAACCGGAGTCTTAATCCAGCACATCTGGAGGGCACCAGATTTGGGGAAAGCAGATGCAAACATTTTATTGCCCAACTTAATTGTCCAGCTCCCTTTTTTCCCACTCCCTGCAGCTGCCTTGTCATTGGAGTTGGCATTTGGGGAGATCTGATCACAATTTCCAGAGTCAAATCTGGCCTGGCCCTAAATCCCTGGTCAATGAGCATGTGCTGAGGGTGGGAAACTTTGCAAAGGAAATCGGTGGGCAGTGGGGCTGCATCTCTGTGCCACTCCCCTGCAGGGATCTGAAACGAGTCCCTTTTCCATGTCACTGTTTCCAGTTAAATGCTTTGGGGGAAAGCAGCTCATACCCTTCCAGGTGCTGGAGTGGCTCCTGGACCTTCCAGTTGCTGACTTCTAATCCGAGATGTAGCATTGCCACGCTCATCCGCAGGGGCAATTGCAGCAGCCCTTCCCCTAATTGGAAACACCCAGAACACTTGAAAGGCGATCCCATTGATTTCAATTAAGTGTGCTTAGAGTCAGAGGCTTGTTTGGAAGTCAGTCCTAGCTGTGATCTTCCCAGCGCCTTCGATTTACCGCCAGTATTGTGGTTTCCTTTGGGACTTTGCATTTTAGCACCTTCTCTTCCAACTGGATCCACTTACTCTAGCAACAAATAGCAAGATGGTGAAAATGATTATCCTGCACACTCTCATAGTACACAACAGCCAACACTTTTATCACTGCTGCCCAAAATGCCCACAGCAGGACGACAGCGGGACATTCATTATCCCGTGTTGTTACCAACCGCATAGACTTTGGCATTTCCTAACAAAAGAGCCTCCTGTTCAGAGGCAGTTCACCTCCACATCCTGGAGGAGACACGTATGATCCTGCAAAGCAATCCTAATGTGTGCAAAAGAGGATTATGGTTACAGTTTCTTGACGAAGCTCGCTGGTATCAGTGACAAAGATGAAGGTACGCAAGAGGGAGAAGGATGAAGGGGGACGGGGGAGAAGGAAGAGAAGAAGGGGAGGGAAGGAGCAGAGGGGGAGAGAGAGGGAAGGGGAGAGAGGGAGGGAGGGAGCATTGAAGACAATGAGTGCGGGGGAGAAGGAAGAGGAGGCAGACGGAAAGGCAGGCGTGCAAAGAAAGAAAGCGGCGAGCGGGAGAGGCATCCTACCTCGCCTTGCCGGTGATAGTGCTTCAGCCCTTTCCCCCCCTGGCCCAAGATTTTGCCTTTCTTGCTGGGGCCCAAAGGCAGTCCCTGGAGGAAGGTGGTGGACCTGTTGGTCGTCGCCTGCGTCGGCGTCTCGCCCATGAGCGTGGCCTTGATGGAGTTCACCTTGGTGCCGTCTAGCTGGGAGCTCTCCACGACGAGGACGGCGGCGAGGAGGAGCAGAGGGCGGGAGGAGAACGGACACCCGCTCAGCATGATCATCGCCCCTCTGCCCAGAAGCTGCAGGCTTCGTCTCTCCCGGGGAGGCGGGAAGGGCCGGCGCCGCAAGACCCAAGCGCGCGTGCGGTGGCCAGCCGCGGACCGATCACAGTAAATAAGGAGCGGGACGGCACGAACGGCGACGCGGGCAGGACGGGCTGCGGCTGGCGCTGGCGCTGGCCTCGGGAGCCGCTCGGAGGAGCAGGGATGCCCGTCCACGCATCCGGAGTGGCTTTCCCGAGCCCTCGCCGCCTCCTCTGCTTCGGGATCTTGGCAGGCGAGGCAGCCCCGCGGGCTGCGGCCGGCGGGCGGGCGGGCGAGCTGGTCCGGCCGGCGGCGGCGGCGGCTGCGCCCGGGCAGGGAGCCGCCCCACCCGCGGAGCTGTGCCGGGGCTTCCGGAGGAGAGGCAGGCAGGCAGCCCCGGGTCGGCCCCCCCAGCCCACTCCGTCTAGTGCCGCGCGGGCAGCCCGAGGGGCGAGCGCAAGCCAGACCCCCTCCCAGCGGGGCGAGCGAGCCAACTCCTTCCCGCCGCCTGCCCGTCTTTCCTCCGGATCCCCGCCGCCTTCGGCTAGCTAGTCCCGGGCATCCCGACGGGAGGCAGGTCAGAGGACTGGCTGAAGCCCGAGCCGGTGAGCGCCCAGCCAGGCGGACGCTGAACCGCCCGTCCCGTCCGTCCCTCGGCCGTCTCCGGCAACTTCGCTCTCCTCCGCCTTCCTTCTGCCCCGGCCGCTTTTATAGCTTCCCTCCCCCCGTGCAGTGCGCTGTTCCTCCGCCCCCCGAAGCCGCGGAGAGACGGCGAGGGAAGCTGACTCATTCCTGCGCCCACTCCTCACATTCCCTCCCAGTCCCACCCGGCACCTTCCTCCTGCCCGTCCTCTCTCCCGCGATCCCCCGAAAATCCCCTCCGGAATCGGCCTGAAGGCAGGAGCTGGAGCCTCTGGGCATAGATGGAGCGCCCTACCCTCCTTCCCACACGTCTAGGATTTCTCCCTCGCTCCCTCAAAACAAGCACGCAGGAAAGTTGGAGCCTTCGGCGTGGCGCGCGCGCACCCGCTCGGACATCGCGATTGCTAGACGAGCGCAGGCTGCTCGTCTGTCCACGCAAGGCAGAAAGTCTGAGAAAGTTTCACGCAGGATCTAGTTCCATTGGAAGGAATGGGACGCAGCTCACCCACGCCCGTGACTCAGTTTGCACGGGGATCCAAAACATTCCACGGAAAGCCCTCTGAAATCAAGGGAAGATTCCCCCCCCCCCCCAGTTTTGCAGAAATCAGAAACAATCAATCTCGTGACACCTGGAAAATGAATAGCTTTGTTCTGGCATAAGTTTTCTGGCACCAGAGCCACTCAGTCAAGTGTCTGAAGACTTATTCCGGAAGACGGATGGATGGATACATTGATGATAGGCAGGCAGGCAGAAGCGTCCTGGTCCAGTATGCCAAGCCATCCCAAATCCAGGCAATACACTGTACCTTGCCTATACAACAGTCACACTACAGATAAGCACAGGGACTTAAGATCGTAACTGATCTTTCAACTTGGCATTTCTGCCCCCTTGAGCGGAAGCCTTCTTGCTGCTAGCCAAGCGCGTTTTGGCCCATGAAAACTTTGACTGTAGAACAATCTGTTTGTCTTTCAGATGCTTCCAAATGGTTTTATTTATTGATGATGATGATGATGAATGAATTAGTCTTTATTCCACTTGTAGTCCTATAGCCAAAGTTCTCTGGGAGGTTAGCCCCAGTACACAAAAATGCAGATTACAAATCCTATAGAATGCCACAGAACAAAATATGAAAGCAGTAAAACAGCTAAAACAATTTCTTCACAATCTAGACTTGTTAAAGGAGCTGTCATGAATGCCCCATCCCGCTGCTAAATGTCTGGTAGAAGAGATGTCTTAGTCTGGGGCCAAAAGAATGACAAAGCTGGTCCTGGGAAGCAGCAATGGAGGGGTCATCCCATAATGGGAGGTCGGGGGAGACACCGCTTTTTATATGTCCAAATGTATGAACTGATTTAGTTACAACAGACTGAAGGGGCCACCCCTCTGGTCACTGAAGGTTAAGGAGCTCCCAGCTTTACATTAGAGCCCAAACAGACATTGCTTGACCATGGGAGCGTTTCATTTTTATATTGGAGTGAGCACAAGGAAAAAGCTCTAGATTGAAACCCTAGGGCAGGAAGGGAAGCTTTGATTGCATCTCCTCCAGAGTAAGAATAACAACAATAATAGACATCGCTGCTAGACATTTAAAGTTATGTCTTTTGTGGCTCGGAGGTGCTGCCAGATTTAGTCCTCGGGACTTGGAATAGACTCTGCCAGGCACATTAAAAAAATCTACATATACCTTCTTGAAGTTCAAGAGACCAAATGTTGGGGTGAGGTTCAGAACAGGCTAACATCCGAATGGGCTTAAATAGATCCAGCGGATGAAACGCTGCCCTCTGAAGAACTAGCAGAGCAGCTAAAGGGAGCTTTAGTAGGACCTCATTTCTAATCAGGCTAGAAATGCACCAGCCTTCCTGCGTCACCGTTGCACACAGACATACGTGTACATGGAGCTGTCCTGTCTGCCTGGCAATTTATGCATACTCAGAGGCTCTCTCCTCTGTGCCAGTGCAGGGACTGTAAACGGACCCTACTCCCAGACAGAGTACTTAGGTTGCAATTGCATGCATGTATAAATGCAGGGAGGGAAACTCTACCGCTCCCAGCAGGTCCCAGTCAGCCGGCCGGGACCTGCCGGGAGTCGCAGGGCTTTTTCCTATCTAAACACGCGTGGGGTTGCACCCGAAATCGCTTAGCTGTGTGCAGAATGGCTCAGGGCAAAATCTGAAGCTTTTGTGACCCAGGAGACCATTTGGTGAAGTAGTCTCATGAAGTGTAATAGCTCCGATGTAAATGGGAGATTCACCTGCCTGACTTAACTCTCTTTCGTTTCAAGGGTCTGCTTTAAGTAGGACTAACAATGGACACAACCCAGGGAGTCGGAGTAAAAGCATCATCCTTGTCCGATAATCACATTATTTCTGCTACTGGAATCACATAATACTATATTGCTGCATCAATATAAGGTGTCTCCTACCCCGACATTTTTAATGCTTAGACTGTGTTTATGTTTTGTCTGCCTGTCTGTCTGTATCAAGTTTGTTTGTTTTGCTTTGTTTATGGTATACCGACCTCCCTAACTCCCTTCCATGATAAAAAAAAGACAGCTGTAGTAGCGCATAGAAATATGTATATGGTATCTTAAAGGCGGATAAACCTACGCAAATTTACACAGAAAAATATCTTCACTTTCCCAGCAGGCTGTCTAAACTTGCATAGGATTGTGCCCCAAATGTATTAAAATGTCTATGGTCCACTTTATCAGAAGTTATGCATGCAAACCAGTTTGTATATTGGCCACATACCAGTATTCATATGCAAGTACACCAGACCCAGCATGCGGGCTAGACTTTTCCCAATTAGCAGATGTGGGGAGAAAGACTTCTATCTGGTGAATTCTTTCCCTGATGGTGTAATAAACAGGTTAAAACCGACCTTCCTTGGGGGATTTCAGATTTGTCTGGTTCACGGGATTGAACACATGGTACTAAGACTCCCCGCATCACATACACACCTCTCTTCCCTTGCTGAGACTCTTCCGATGCTCTCAAGAGTGAAGAAGAGAATGTGGATTCTTCTCCCTGCTGTTTTCTTGACTGAAGAGGTTTGGCATCAGCTGCTCTCAAAGAAGCTGTGGATGGAAGAGGTGGGGAGGAAAACTGCCCACTCGGTCCTGGCTGTTTCAAGACTTGGCAGCTTTTTCGCAGGCTGGGGATGAGTACACATTGATATGCATGCGTTTGCGTGCATCTGAGCATTCATATGCAGCCCACTGCATGTCAGAATTAGCTTGTAGTGCTAAAATATGCATATGTAGTGCAAAAATGTAGTGGTACACTTCCGTAAGGTGGCACACGTCTACCCTTTCACCGGGCAATGAGTTTAAAATGGCTCAGAGGTCCTGAGAACTTGGCCACCACTTTCTCTGGACTGTATCTATTTCTGCAGGAGATGAATCTGATTGAACCCAGTGAGACATTTTCAATTAGGACCAGGCACAGGGAATCTTACAAGCTTCATTCCCGCTATGTGGCGCACATCTGGGATCTGAGCCGGACTTGCTTCCGAGTAAAAATGCATCTGATCTGACTTCAAATCCTTGCCAAGTTAAAGAAAGGATGTCAAGCAGGGGTGGACAGACTTCAGGCTTGAAGAATCTGCTTTGTGGTTTGTTTGTTTTTACTAGATACCTGAGATCCACCAGTGGAATGTGGTGCAAAAGGCATACACTTTAGAGTTCAAGAATTCTGAGCCCAGGAATGTTTTTGAATACCAGAATGGAACAGAGCTCTCACACAGTCCTTTCACACACAAATCCCATTCCTGATTATCCCAAGCTTTCTTCATTTCAGCAGTATAACTTTGGATGCGCGAAAGAGCAGAGGAATTTTTTTTCAGCCTAGATTAGGAATGCTGAGAGACCAACAGGGAAACATACTGTTTGACTAAGATAAAATAAAAAGGTGAAAACAATATGCAGAAGAACCATACAGAAGAGATAAAAGGATTCAGACTCCTCCAAAGAGGAATCCTATGAGAACATTGCAATATTAGAAACTGAACTTAAAGCTACTCTGAAAGCACTTGGAAGGAATAAAGTAGATAGGGTAGCAATAGAGCTATAGCCAGTTGCCGAGTCTCTTGACAAGAATATTCCAACAACCATGGAAAACAAAACAATGGTCCACAGACTAGAAACAGTCAATACACATTCCAGTCCTGAAGAATGGATATGTTAAGGAGTGCAGCAACTATAGGACCATTGTAATTATTTCTCATGACAAGCAAATTTATGTTCAAAGCACTGCAGCAAAGAAATTTACCTTATATGGAGAAATGACAGGCATTCAAGCTGGATTCTAAAGAAGAAGAAACACATGTGATCATATCT